GTCACTGCTCAGTGCCTCCTAAGTAGGAAGACAGGCTGGGACTCTGCCACTGAAAAGTAAACTTGTCGGAAATGCAGAGAACCAATGAACTTGGCATGGTAGCTCACCCTTACAATCCCAGCATATGAAGTAGGAAGAATGGCCAGAGTTCCAGGCCAGCCTGAGCTACAGAGTGAGACTCTACTGGAATGTGTGGTGAAAATGGCTAGCTAGTGTCTTTAAGCAACTCTTCTACCTATCTTAAGAGGACAGTCCTGACAGCTGTGTTCAAAACAGTTTGGGAAAGAGGGAGAAAAATCTTTAGAACAAGGAATCAGTGAGAAGAATCCCAAGGAGAAGCTAACCGGGCTTGACCTGGGGGTGTGAAATTGAGTGGAAAGGTCGAGCAAAGGCCAACTATCTGCACTCGTGAGCATGAAGCGAAGCACCTAAGGGAGAAGAGGCAATAACACCAAGCTTCCAAGTCTTGATGACACAGAGCAAGGATCAGAGGTGGCTCTGGTTTTAGAGATGTTACATTCAAGGGAACACCGAGAGGGAAGTGACTTCACAAGGGAACCCAGGTCTAGCATAGAAACTTAACAGACGTAGGAATTGCAGTTCAAGTTACACGGCAGCAGGTGCAGAGAAGATTTAAGTAATGAAGGTAGAACAGGTGCCAGAACAAATACTGAACTTGGGGACACTGTGAACTTTGGAGGAAAAGAACCTATGAAAGCCCTCAGGAGGATCCCAAGGAACATCCAGCATGACGTGCTATGAAGATCACTGAGGGCCAGGCTGGAGAGATGGCTCAGTGCTTAAGAGCACTGGTTGTTCTTCCTGAGGATCCTGGTTCAAATTCCCAGCACCCACGCAGAAGCTCACAACTGCCTGTAATTTCAGTTCCAGGGGATCTGGACTCTACAGACACAGCATGCACATGCTACACAGACATACATGCAGGCAAAGTACACATAAAATAAAAATTAACTAAATTAAAAAAAAAAGATTACTGGGGGTCCAAGCCAGGTGAGTGTTGAGATGGAGCGGTCAGTATAGGTTTTAAAAAAAGGTCTTTTCAAATGTGAGCTGAGCAATTCAAACCTTACATACACATTCCAGAAAGCAGAGACCATATTCATCAGGATTGTCGAGAGTAACAAAATTTATAGAACCAATGTCTTTATATATAAAGAAATGGGTTTTATCAGAATGTCTTACAGGCTAGTCCAACAATGGCTGTCTACCACTGGAAAGTCCAAGAGTCCAGTAGTTGTTCACTCTACGAGGCTGGATGTCTCAGCTGGTCTTCGGTACACTGGAATTCAGAAGAAGCAGGCTCTAATGCTAATAAAGGAATGGACTTGCTAACAAGGCAAGAGCAAGCAGGCAAAGAGAGAGGAGTCCTTCTTCCATGTCCTTTGATTGGTTGCCAGCAGAAGGTGTGGCCTAGATTAAAGGTGGATCTTCCCACCCCAAAATATCTGAATTAAAGGTGTGCCTTCCCTCTTCAAAGTTACAATTTAATTAAGCAAAGATCTCTCACAGGTGTGCCCGGGTCATTTTTTTTCCTGGGGGGAGGGTAGTTAATTCCCGATATAGTCAAGTTGGCAACCAAGAATAGCCATCACAGAGCCTCAAATAGATAAACGTAAAGACGATCAAAGAAGAGACACAGGTAAACTCATAGAGACCGAAGGGGCAGCGGAGCAGCGGTGCCTGCCCTATGGGTACCGTAACTCTATTTTGGTGGCTGCACAGATTGAAAAGCATCCCCCAAATCTCATTTTATGTCTGAAGATAAGCAACCAAGCAAGCAAGCTGACTGCGATGGCTCTCATAAAGTAAAGGGACTAGCCCAAATCTCTGGTGGAAAATGAAGCTATCATGACCGTGCTAACAGTGATCCAAACCGAGAGCTAACAGAAAGGGGCAGGGCTTGCTGTTCTTCATAATTATCCAAAATGCATTAGTTTTGGGTGCATGGAAACTACAATCTTTTCTTTTTTAGAAAGCATACGGGGCGGGGTGAGAGAGCGCGAGCGAGCAAACAAGCATCCTGTCGGACTCCCAGCCTCGCGTGTGGATGGCGTCCAAATGCTGACCCGCACCGACCGACCAACAGCAATAAAGACAAAATCCACATTTTTCTGGTGAATCTCTGGAAGCTGCGGCCACCGACAACTCGGCCCCGCACGGAGCCCATCGGGGCTGTGGAAGCCGGAAGCA